GAACACAGAGGGTAAAGCAGATGCTATGAACAACACAAGGAACAGATGCCTGGAACACTGAAGTAAAATATGGATAAGGCCAATGATTCTTGGAGCCCTGATTCAAATGTCCCTGTGGACATAGTAACAGCTCTCAACAAATGATGGTATTGTCATAAGGAAGTAATGCCAATTCTGGAAGGAATTCTAAGAAATTGTAATAAATTGCAGTAGGTTGGCTTTTGTTTCAGGATATAACTGATGTCATATAGCAAAGTTCAAGAGAACATGTGTTTGACAGAGGGGTCTGGGTAAATAGCACTGTTACTCTGGTTATCATTTGTATTTGTTAACCATAGTTTAATATCATACATGATTTTTGCAATATGCTTTATTCATTTATAACACAGTAACTGATAAAAGGAGTTTCTCTTTTACAGAAATGCAAGAAATAAAGGTAATGTCTTCAGCCTTAAAAAATTCTGATTATAAATCAGAAACATATGGAAAGCTGTTCATACAATCACTAGGTCATTTTTCAGCTGTCTCCATTTTGCAGCTGGTGGCCCTAACAGTGACCTAAATTAATTTAATTCACTGAGTCTTGGAAATAGTTGCAACTTTTAATAACAACCTGGAGGTGTTTATGCGTAACCATTTCAGGTGCTTCTTTTGCGATCCTGAATCTTGAAGAATATTCTATGTTTTCTCTGTAGGACATGATGACATTTATTTTCCATTTAATACTGCCTCTGAACCCTCCTCCATCCCTCAAGGATGCCGAGTTGGAATTGACTTTGCTTCACACAACGACTTCTACAGCACCACCTTCAGTTCTCAAACCAGGACATTGTTCCCTCCTCCCTCTGGGATACTTTTAGTTCCCAGAATAAATGCAACCCCATCATTATTACTGGCATAAAACTGCCTTAAAACTATTTTTACACCCTCTATTGGGTCCTCAACAAAAAGCAGAAGGGAATGAAGGAGTCTGAGAAGTTTCATATCACACATTTATGCAGCAGCAAAGAGATAAAAATAGTTTTAGAAAGTAGAATTAGTCCCACACAAACATCAAGCAGAAAAGGCCTATTTTAGAAAATAAAACTTGTGTAGAGAGCCACTCCAAAAAGTTATCTCTTCTAGGTTACAAAAGGAGAAAAAAATAGAACCATTGAGTTCAGTTCTAACATCACTTAATGCTTTTGCCCCCTTTAACAGTAAATCTCTCACTGCTTGCAGATTACTATTGTGTACATGTTATCAGGCTGGTGCAATAACTGTCTTTTCCTCTACAAAACCTTTTCTATTATAATGACCCCAATCCAGAACAGCTGGTCAACACTGTGAGATGTTTAAATCACATTCCATACAAGAGTTATGCCAAGGAACCTCCAACATGTTACCTTCCACATGAAGCAGAAATATCACACACAAAAGAAAATCCAGCATTTTTCCAGGTCTATAAATGCCCAGGAATCTTTAAAAGTTTTCCTAATTTGTCCTCATCTCATTCTGTCCCACACAGATGTCTGGCCAAGAGAAGACACTGACTTTGAGCATTCTATATATGTGACTCCCAGCACCCACCACAGGCTCAGGTCATCTGAGCAATAATCCATAGTACTCTTTTCCTAGAACACTTACAAACAGTAAAACTCAAACTACAGAAGTTGCCAATATCATCCTTTAGAGACTATGACAGAAGATGAAAGCCAACGTCTTTAAGCAACTGCAAAATACACTTTGTCTAAATATGAAACAAACCTCAGTGATATTAAAAAGAATCTCAGATTTGGTTTATTTCATAAGGAATATCCTGATAGCAACTTGATGGGACTTTCCCTAGTGCTGCCTCATAGCCTCATTCACCCCTGCACCCCAGAGGTAAGGCCCTATGGTTTTTCCTCCCCATTTTTCTTTTTCTAGTGTCCTGCCTCCCTTTGCACAACCATAAGTCTTTACATAGGCAGTGCCAGCCCCTGTCCACATGCAATTCCTTACAGGCACCTTGGAGAGGTAATTTCTCTGTCTTGCACAGATAAAGGTCCACCCCCCTCTGTATTGACATACAAACTAAATACTAGATTCTTTCCCAGATGCTGAAGATTTAGTCAGTAACATGTACAGTTTGGATAGTTACCCTCATTTCTGTCTTGCTCTCCTATGTTTTTCCTACCTCTGCCATCCACACCCACCCACCTTCTCACTTTTTCTCTCCTAAAAGCTCTTTATTCTTCATCGTCTAACATGACAGCAGACAACCCTGGGCAACAAATTTTACATCTACTCTGTACTCTACCACCCTTTTCACCTAAAGTTAAGATTTTCTGACAACAGAATCCAGAGACCGGAATCCAATCCCATTAATCTGGCTTGGGTTCGATCCACTACAAGAAAAGAAGTCTTGTGGTTCATTTACACCTTCAGCTACACTTTATATCCTTACAAAATTAAAGGGAAATTACTACTGTTCAAATTTAAGCCATGTTTCCATGTCAACAAAATTAGAAAAAATAACCTTTTAAAATGCCTAACAGTCCAGCTGAAAGTATTTGGTGGGGAAATCAGTCAGTGTAAATGAAATACCAAGGGGAAATAAAAAACCACATCATGAACACATTATCAAGGCCGCCTTAAAAAACTGGAGCTCAATGAGTTAACAGCACAGCAGGCTTAGGTTTCCAGAAAAGAAACCACCTTCCAAGTACATTGATCCTTGTAACCAGAGTCCAATAAACAGACACTTATACATCCAATTTCCAAGCACTAACAGTGCCTAGAAAGCACTTCCTGCTTGCCAGGGTATTTCCTGTGAGCTCCCCTACTGCCAATGCATATGAACCACACATTTCATCTCACATGATTTGGATATTGTGGTTATTTCTAGTCACTCTGAGCAGGAATAAAGCACTTGAAGGAACCAATACTCCCCCCTTCCTTGTTTGCAGCCACTCATACCACCCCCATCCTTGTGCAGATCTGAGCATCTGGTACATGTTCAGATAAAAACTGGTTTTATCTGACATTATTTGCTGATATATTTTCTTCTTTCATGACAATGCAGACAAACTATGGGACAAGGTTACTGTTTAATTTGGCACTGTAAGCTACTCCTTGATGACATCACATCAAATGAATTATTTAACATCTCCCTCTTTGGATGTATTTTTAAGGAAGTACTCATGAGCTTCTGAGAGGTGCCTCTATTGCAGTGAGTACACACATGACAACTTTTTTGTGATAAGCACACAGCCAAAATCTTGTGACCCTGACAAGCACAGACTTTTCACATTTTGTGCAGAAGCTGTTCCTGAAGTTGTCTAAAAATTCCAAGCCTCTTCTCCTCTTGCAGATCAAAACAAGTGTTTCCTTGAATGAAGATTTCCTATATTTACCTAGTAGTTTTCCCTCATTTTTTCAAGTTGTCATACATAAGGCAAAGATAAAGCTACTCCTAAGACATTCTATGTACCTGTAAAATCTAGTATTTCAGTACTTACAAAATAAATTATCATACAACTGACTATAACAAATACATTTAATATTTTATATCTTGCTTTGAGCTTCAATACTTACTAGTTGTTTTTTTTTTTTTTCCCTTAGAATAGTTATCCTGTGATTACATACAAGCACTGGAAACATTTGGATGCCCCAGAGACAGAGGAAATCCTAAGGTGGATGTTTGGCAGAGGGGTGGCAGCTGGAAAGGGTAAGTAGAAAGCAAAGCTGTGTCATTACTTCCCAGACATGCAGGAAGGCAGGAGGGATGATGAGATGGTATTAACACTGCAATTTAACAACTTCTAAACTCCTGGTGTCCTTATTGTTCCAGAAGAGTAGCATCCAATGGGATTCAGGGCCCAACCCACATTATTACTGAGTCTCTTCCCTTCACATCTCCATTTTACCATCACAGCACTGTGACCAAGCTTCAAGTCCAAACTATCACACTGTTAAATGTGCATATGAACTAAGCTACAAACATTTTTATAAAATCCAAATGAGTTCAGAAACTGGTAGTATTATAAACCCAAAAAGATTTTAGACAGCAACTGGCTGTAGTCACTCTGCAGATTTCCTACAGACATTTGGCTGCTAAGCAAGGCAGCATTTAAAAGAAAACTTAACCAAAAGGTTCAGAGTTTATCACCAGTATTACTCTAGAAAAAAAAAACCAAAGCGAAAAAAAAAGGTATGACAGTAAAAGAGAAATGTAAATCTGGATATATTCCCACTAGATTTTATTGCTACATACTTTTTAAAGACTTGAGAAAGTTACTCTATAAACTTTCTAAGTTGGTCATCTGTCTCCCATTTGTGCTGACTGCCAAAAATTCATAATGAGGAAAAGGATGGGGGAGGAAGAAATGCATCACAAATCCAGAAAACTGATGCTCATAGTTCAGATGGAAATACTACACCTGGACAATGTTCACTAAATTATCTACAGAACTGAAACAGAACTTTATTCAAAGCAAGTATTTTTTGTGAAACCCATTTTTAATAATAAGCTGTCAAATAAGTCAATTAATGAGGCATTTAGACATTGATTGTCTAAAAATCTCAACACAAACACAAGAAATTCCAAAGAATATTTTTCTAGAACTCTTCAGACTGAAAAGTTTCCATTTCATAGGTAGGTGAAACTTCTCTAAACATATACAATTTGTAATAAAACATTTTACTACTCACAAAATGTGACTAATACAACAGACGTGTTTTGGCTCTACTTCTGTCTCAGAAAGCAGCTGCTTTGTCTCTAGGCTGAAGCATTTCACAAAATGGATAACATATGCCTTATTAGAGACCTCCAGTTTGTACAATTAATATCTGATTTATAGAAAAAGCCTTAGCAAATATGAAGAGAAAATTACCACAAAGCAGAAAGCTGCCATTTTAACAAAGAACACCAAAAGTAGGATGAGCTACACAGGCTTAGCATTTGCAAATGTTATGCAAAGTACAACCCCCTGCTCCAGCATATTACCTCTCACCCTGGGAGAGAATGCTGGCAAAGCTTTTTTACCTCATGGAAAGTACTCTTCAGACCGTCAAACTTTGAGAAAATGTTCATTTCAACAGTTTGGATGTAATGCATAACTTGAACCTAAAGTACATTGACAAAACAGTAACTATAGATAAGGACATCTGGTTTCTCAGTGAAGAGCTTGGAATCTGCTAAAAAAGGTAGGTGGACTTTTTCCCTAAAAGTAGATTAATTTAGAGCTTAAATAAAACTACAGAAAAGAGGAGAAAAATGCTGTACAAAGATTTATTTTTTATAATATTGCATGCATATTTGTAATGTTTCAAAGATTATGTTTGCAGCCTCTTCCCCTTTCCTGCCTGAAAAGTGCCCAACCTGTATAATATTGAAGGTACTATCTTCTCTTGTTAAGTCTCAAATGTAAAGTAAAAGACAGAGAGACTATTGCTATAGAGCATTTAGGTTTGAAAATCCTAATTTTGACAGTAAAGGAAAATGCATTTGAACCTCACATGTTTTAGTTAGTTCATCTATATATATGGCAAATATTTAATATTAACAAAATCATCTTGCTTTTAACAAAAATAAACTGGGAAACAAGCAAATGCAATTAAGAGAATATTTTCTTTATTAGCTGGAAAATGTTTATTTCCCAGTTTCTTCTCATGTTAAGAACAGATTTTATAAAGTTGGAGTCTAATTAAAGGATATCAAGAGTTAAAAGTTGTTCCATGTTCCTTATGTGTTAGAAACCACTGCCAACAAGTCCTCTAGGCTTTAAATATTGTTTTGACGGATTGCATTTTCATTTCCAGTCCCAAAGAAAGTGCTCTCCAGAGTCCAGGCACAAGCAGATCTTCACCAGCTCACTGAAAGACACATACATTGGGCTGGGCAAGAATGGAGACTTTGCAGGCTACTTTTTTTTTGTTTGTGTTTGTACCTTTGGTAAATCCAGCACCACCTCTGCAGCAAGAATCCCTCCAGTTTTATGAGTATGATACAGATGTTTCCATGGGAAGCCTGACCCAACAAGATTATGAAATGCAATCCAAGGATATAAGAAAGGTATTTTATTTATATTTTCCATTTAATATTTTTAACTGAAATAAGCATTATGTGAAAAAGGTGTTGTGTGCATGCATGTGAGTTTTATGGAAAAGTCCTAAAATAACAGGGAAGCATACAATGGGTTCAGACATAGGGAAAGCCACTCAAACTAAAACCACAAAAATATTACCCTTGCCACAGTCTGAGTAAGCCACAGAAGGCAGGCTTGCACAAATAAGGCTAAAGCATCATTTTAACTCTGCTGTTCTTATATGCCTGCAATTGTAAGAGTTTCAAGAACAGGATATATCACTAGCTCAAGAGTTTGAACTATGTTGTATTAACTCAGTGAGTTTGCTTAAAAACAAGGAAGGTGATTTTATTTTTTTTCACTCTCAAAGTAATAATTGGAACCCCCCTTTTAACTGAACATAACCTGCCAGTATAAACCACAGTTCCTCTTTCGACTTGCCAAACTATCAAGTTTCTTGCCTCAGTTTTTGAGGGGTGGGTGGTTTGGGATTTTTACTGCTCAGCTGCTCAGTTTAGCAGTCCTGAACTTCTATAGAATGTCCAGTGCTTGAAGAATCACTTACACATTAACACTTTCAGGGTTTTAATAAAGTGAATATCCCCTACATCTCACTGCACTCACCAGTATCTCCAAACAGAATATTTTTGTTGGGTGCTCCACATTCCTGCCTCTGAATTTCAATACAAAAGCAGAAGACACAGAGTCAAGGGAGAATTAAGTGAAGTGCCACAACCTGAGCTCCCTGGGACAGTTACAAACCTCACACCTCCATTCAGACCTAACCAGTACACACCAACAGAGAAGGAGATACAACACTGATCAGGGAGAAAAACCAGAAGCAATTGTCCCAAGAGTAGTTGCCAAGGAAAATACCACAGATCCAAACCAAGTGGTAACAGCCCAGTATGAAAAGCTTAAGGAGATTTTCATTAATATTAACTGTACTTGTTACAATAACTTAGTCTGATAAGCAAGAAAAATAAAACAGCAAAAGACAGTAAGTAAAAAATTGCAGCCCAAATATAGAAAAATCACTTTTGTATACCTTTTTAATATTTCCCAATTCTACTTAAATTACAGCTTTCCACTGTTGACTAAAACAATAAGCTACATATTTATAGCAAAAAAATGTCAAAGGTATTTTTAAATCTGACATCTGTCACAGTGATGAAGTAACATGTTTTAATAAACCCATGAGAAAGGGACTATATAAATGACTCTTAACTAGTGGGTGACTATCCACTCAGAAATAAGTCTTAAAAAAATACTAAACCCGTTAACTTTAACCAGCTAGGCACAACATCAGATGACATTTGTTAATAAATTGTTTGCAGAAGATTGCTGCTGCTTCAGTAAAGGAACAAGGAGTATACCTACATGGAAATGGTGCCAACAGATGTGCCACAGACAAATTGAAGTCCTCCTGGCAGTGCTATAAGCTGAAGGTCTTCTGAAGGCCAACAGTTCTGCTTAGGCTAATTCTAGGAATGTAGATGGTCATTATTTCCATCAGGTCAGCTCTCCATTGATACGTTTTCATTGCAAAATAATAAATGAGTTCCTTATGTGCAACAACTACATCAACACAAGTGCCAGTGTTCCCAGTTTAAATCATGGGGTGCACAAACAGATCTTCTATTCATTTATTGCACCAATTTTACTCCCCAAATATTCCAAGTGTTAACTGAAACTGAGATGCATGCCAAATGTTTCCTCAAGCATGCCCAGTCAGAAATCTATCTTGCATACAAATTTAACTCCTTACTGTATGCTTGAACACAGTTAGAAAAAAAGACTTCTACTAAAAACATCAGAAGAAATTTATTACTATGATTTGAAACTACAACCACACCTGTCTTGAATAAAATTTGAGCAATTTAAAACACAAAATCTTGATTTCCACATGAGAACAGAACCACTCAATTAGATGCTGTCTCACATCTGGACTAACTCATTTCATTGAATATAAATGACCAGAACTTTGTGTTATAAGAGGAATAAATTATTTTGCAGAAATTTGAAGATGGTTGGAATATTTAGATGTAACATGTTAATGTGTACGTGCAGTAAAGTGCAAGAGGCAGGTGGAATCTAAGTATGTGAGTAAGCCAATATTCCTTCAGTGCATTCCTTACATATGTAAGTAATGAACTTGTGGTTATAATCCAATCTTCTGCACTGATACTCCATACTTAGGGATTTTTATGGCTGATCAGCAAATGCTTTTTAATTTTAGGAATTTAATAGTATTCTGCAAATTACCAGTTTTAATTTTTGTGACATTTCCCACTGGCAGAGATTAGTAATACATTGCACTCTGCTAAGAAGTCCCATCAAAGACTACTTTGATGGCTCAAGTAGGAGACTCTGCTAGAAATCTTCCCCTGGGACAGATAAGCTGTGCCAGCAAATGTTCAGTGTCCGTTAGGAGCCTAACCAGCTGCAGTCATACGAGTCCAATTGTTCTGTGAGCAGTCCATGCCCTCAGAAGTCTCTAGTGGCACAGATACCTCAAGGGCCACATCTTCATGTGCCTAATCAACCTGTCTTTGTGAGCTAACTCCTGCAGAAAGCTTCTGTGAGATTTGCTTTTTGCTGGAGTGTAGCTGGTGAGCTGACATCCCCCAGCTTCCCTCCACCCAGCATGGCCAAACTGCTGCCAGAATCCTACTGAGAACCTAAAACTTCACTAGGGCGAACCAAGCTAGCTCAAACTAGAGCCAAAGGCTGGAGAGGCAGACACAGGAAAGAGCCAAGGGACGGATGATTCACAGGCTAAAAAGGGGTCAAAATGACAGAGGCTGGCCAAGATATTTGTTTCTCAGGCTTTATGTCAAGCCTGAGGGGTTTGTTTTGCAGAATACAAAAATTCCCACAGTAAAGAATACGCAAGCAACTAAATACCAAATAAAACACAGCATCAGAAGGGGCTTGAAAGCTCTTACTTGCACACTGCACTTGTGGGTGAACCACCTGTGAGCCTGAAGGAGGGGAGAATGGGGGGATTAAGAAAACTAGAAGGGGTTCATTTGTCAGCACGCCCGGTGTGCAAGCAGCTGTCCAACAAAGCACTTTGCTCCTGCCAGGGCCTGGTCCTTAAGCATGTTTAAAGCAAAACAACTTCCACATCTCACAATGTTCTTTCCTGCATGTGTTTCCAATAGCCACGCACACCAAAAATCATATTGGCTTGTTCTGGCCTACAAATATTCCCCATAAAAAAAACCCAAATGAATGATGCAAGCCAAAAATAACTACCACAGTCAAACTGAAATCTCCTTAACTTTAATGTATGCAAATCACAGGATAAGCCACTGTATCTATACTCTAAATACAGTAATAATAGGTAATTCTCTAAAATTCAGCCAGGTGAAAACCCGACTACTGTTCCCTGCATCACAAGAGGCCCTGTTAGCAGCTCACACCTTAAAACAGACTTACATGCAGATCATGAAAACAAATTATTCAATTTCAGCCAATACCTGCAAGGAATGTCTTTATAAACTAAGCTGTCCTGCAATTGAAAAGATGCAATGACTATCTCCAGGAGGAATTCTGAATAGCTTTAAATGCAAGGACATCTCAGTCATTTTATTGAGATTGTTTGGGTAAAACAACAACAAAATACAGCTTACACTCACAAGAATCCTATTGAATTTTGTATTATATGCAAAATCTTGATCTTCAAAACTCTATTGCTTGTAAATATGCACCACTTACATATTCCTTCCCACCATATAGGCTATATTTTTTGTTTCCATTTTGTGTCTATTCTCATTTTCTGAGAACTTGAATTCTCTAAAGAGCACTGGCAGCACCTTCCCTTCTTGCCTTTCCAAGTGAATTGGGCATGTATGAAAGTGACAATACATCACATTAGTCATCCAACCTATAAGAGCATTTTGAAAATTAAGTGCCATAAAGAGGTATATTGGAAGAAGCTCAATTTAGAAGATGTTATTTCAGATACTTGTAATTCTCTGTGGCTTTTTGTCTGTGGTTTGTGTTTTAAAATAACAATTGTTCTCTCACAAAGGATGGAACAAACATTTCTCTTGACACTTCCCTAATGCTGCAAAGCGATGACAGCCAACTCGATGTCCCACCAACAAAGGACACAAGTGAGTTAACTTATATGAATATTGTGATGCCTAAGATATCCAAAAGAATATATTGTAATATAGAAATCTAATATGCAAAGGATGACAAAGGCTACAGAATTAATCCTTTCATTTATGAATATATTTCATATGCCCTGTGGAAAATCTTCTAACTTCTGATGGAGCAGTCTGAAAAATTTAAAGGAGCCTCAGGTAAACTCTGAACACACAAAGCACAGCTTGTAAGTTTCTCCACAGACTTGCCCAGTCATATTTGCCATTGAGATGTACCCAAGTTAATAAATTAGACAAGACAACTAAGAAAAACAAAATACATCTCCCACAGTTAAGTGATGATGAAATATGAGGTGCTTAAATTAATTCAACAGATTTATTTGAACAATTGGTTATTCTCAAAGTTTACATCTAATGATCAGGGAGATCAATGTTTAAAATACATCAGGAACATTCTTCACTTGCCAAAGCTTCCTACAGGCTTTGGGTACATTGTCCAGATTTCTCCTAAAAAGCCCCAGTTCTCTCTACACATGAAAAGGACAAAGTTTCTCTGCCAAACAGAGCAGTGAGAAAAAGACACACGTATTTTGTGTGTCTGTGATCTAAACTTCCAAAAATAACTGATGATTCAGCAAGTGGACTGTCAATCTCCACAAAAGCGCTAATTCAAGGTTAATTTTTACCAAACAGCACCTGTCAACAAGCCCCCATCAAAAGCTGAGCAAGTCTCCAAAAACATCAGAGCTTCTAGACAGACAAGCATAAAAGCTATTGCCTTTTTAACAGTGACAACATTGTTTGACATTTTCCATTTCCTACACAAACATGAAAACAAGCCACTAAATTAAAAAACCAAACCACCAAATGGGGCAGAACTCTACAGACTAAAAATGATGATATTCACAAAGCAAAACCTCAAAATCTTCATTCTGTTCTCTGCAGTGCTGCTGTAGGAAAAATAATTACTGTTAGATGTACTGGGTTGACTTCCCAGTATTGACCAGCTGCTTTTGTAACTTCTCACTGGTTGCAGAAGGTCTTGTTTTTCTGTGTAGTGACAACTACACAGAATGGAACATGGAATGACCTTGCTGTCCACACTGCATACACTCCAAGGTGGAAGCCAACCAAAGCTCTCAAAATATAGAAAATACAGCACAAGTCACAGCAGTGGTGATGAAACTGGATTAAAAGCCATATTCCTTATATGCATTTGAATATTGCTGGAAGAAAAGATTAGAGCAAAGTAGAAGTTACTGATACTTTACTACCATGAAGAACAGGACAAGCCAAAAAGGTCTCAAACTACATCAGAAAAATTTTTTTTCTCTGTTTAAAACAAAAGTTGTAAAAATCTCAGTATAAAACTAATAGATTGCTCACAGGGCTTGGAGCAACCTGGTCTAGTGGAAGGTGTCCCTATCTGTGACAGGGGGTTGGAATGAGAAAATCTTTAACATCCCTTCCAACCTAAACCATATATAAACATAATATGTTGGAGTTTTATCAAAAGGTTTAGAGAAAATAGTAAGTAGGAATAACACAGGATATTGTGTGACCTGCCAGAAATGCTCCAATGCACTTACAGTACCAAATGCATGCACTGTCAGGTGTTTCTCCTTGTGGGTTTGGTTCCAAATGTGATATTTAACACAGTCACAAAACTTACAGTTGTCACATTCACCATACCCTTAGCCAACTAAAGATTTAAACTGAATTCAGGCTGATTAATAGCATTTCACAGGCTCAGGTAAGATAAAGAGATTATGCACAGGGAAATCACACACAATAAAAAGAACAAAAAACCCAAAAGAGTTGAGAACATTAAATTTTCTCAAAACTTGATGCAAATATAATTTTTTAAAAACCCAACATTAGGAAATCTTCAAAGACACTAGGTGAGTTGAATGAGTTGTAACTGTGTGCTGAACCCCTTGCTGGCAGACCTGCCCACGTGTTTGCTGTGCGTGTGCCTGAGCGGCTCTGTGTACTGCGAGGAGATCGACATCGAGGCTGTGCCCCCCCTGCCCAAGGAAACCGCTTATCTTTATGCTCGCTTCAACAAGATCAAAAGGATTGCAGCCTCAGACTTTGCTGACATTAGTAAGTGACACCTCAATTTCCATTTCTGCTTTAGAATATGAAATGGAAAGGTAAAATAGAAATGCATTTTGGACCCTGAAAACATCTTAATACTCCCAAACAATTAGGTAAAGAGCAGGTTGCTAAAAATAAAATTCAGCTCTGCATTTCAGACAGTCTTAAATGACCAGACATTATTTTTCCTTCAAATGCTCCAGGGACAACTCTGTCAGCTGTCTCATTCAACAGCATGACAAATTCTATATCTGAAATCATGTTATCTCTAAGACGAAAAAAAATGATTCAGAGTACTACCCTTTTTAATTTTTTCAACTTAGGACCAGGAAAAAATCCAGATGTCAATTTTATCTGTATTTTAATAGTATTTGCATTTGTAGATCACAGTTTAGATGCTGCAGCCAACAGTATAACATTTAGTGTGTATAGCCATACCCATTTCACATGCCATATAATTAAAAACTCAATACTTATTTTTTTTTTTTTTTTTGTGTAAAGCTACCTTGAGAAGAATTGATTTTAGTGGAAATAGGATAGAAGAAATAGAAGATGGAGCCTTTTCAAAGCTTCTGCTTTTGGAAGAACTTTCTCTTGCTGAAAATCGACTTGTAAAACTTCCTGTTCTACCTCCCAAACTAACAACATTTAATGCAAACCAAAACAGAATCAAGAGCAGAGGAATCAAAGCAAATGCTTTCAAGGTAAGGAAAAACCCATTAATTTAGGTAACCAAAGTAAACAAAATTAATAACCACACTATTCAGTCTGACGCCAAATTATTTTTCTGTATTTTTTGTAATCTAAGAAACAAACTATGATGATGCAGCTTTCCAGCTTTTGCTTTGCTTTTAAGGCCCTATGGAATATCAATCATTTGTGCACTCACTCTCTCATGTCCTCCACATAGAAAACAATTTTCTATGAAATCTCTCACCTGCTTACTTTCTCTCTAACACGTAAAGAAAAAATATTCAAAAATGGATGGCTCAAGTACAGAAATACTAATAAACAATATATATATAGTACTTAATAGTGGTCTCAACTTTTATAACCAACATGCCGATACTGAAATTTCCCAAACATAGAAGGTCTGTTCTATTAATTTCTTGATAGAATTCCACACTTACAGCAAAAGAATGACTTTTGTTACATCAGTTTACAGGCTAAGTGATCAGAAGAAATTTCTGATGTCTTGTAACAGGCATGAGTTATTTAACCTCAAATAATACCAGCATCAGTAACCTCTCTTTCTGTTTAACAGAAGCTCACAAATTTGGCCTACCTCTACTTAGGACACAACGCACTGGAATCTGTTCCCCTGAACTTACCAGAGAGTCTGCGCATTCTTCACCTTCAGGTATTCCCAAAGGATTTCCTTAACATTCTCTTAGGAAACACATCAGGAGTTACACACTTCAAATCAAACTTGTTCTATTTTAAAACAGTTCCCACTACAGCTTTCCACCGTGCCTCTGAATAAAACAATTTACCATACCAATGTGTATGGCCACAACCATCCAGAAGTTCAGAAGCTGCTAATTCCCATGCAATGATTTATTATTGGTTTCTGCACATCAGGGATAGGAAATGACAAAAAGAAGCCATAATCTTTTATCAACAACGCATGTATGTTTTTATTTATAAAAACGTTTTGGTTTGCAGTACAACAACATCACCACCATCACGGATGACACATTCTGCAAGTCCAACAACACGCGCTACATCCGCACGCGGATGGATGAGATAAGGATGGAGGGCAACCCCATCGTCCTGGCCAAGCATGTCAATGCCTTCTCCTGCCTGAGGATGCTGCCCGTGGGAACGTACTACTAGCACCGCTCGTGTCACTCCACATGCCAGACCCAGGCATGGTAACAACGATCACTTCTTCCTCTGTTTACAAGTTCATATCCTCTCCCTTGCTAATGCTCTTTTCCCTGCATACCCAGGACCTGCTGCTATGTTGCACCATTCTCCTCTGAAATAACCATTTCAAACCAGTCACTTTAGTAGTTATGGTGTCCCTCACGCTTTCAGAATCTTTTCTGTTAATGAAAGCGTAAATATATATATATGCACACACATCATCTAAACTTTTATCTCACCATGTACCCTTTAGGTAAAATCCCACAAAACTGCTTGTTTTCATTCTTTACCAGCACTCAGAACAACCACCACATTTTACTTTCAGATAAATGCAAGATACTCTTTGAGCAAGTCAAAGAGGAAAAATACTTCTGAATTCCAATCCCACTCTTTTAATCTGGAGTGATATCTTTTCAGTTGACCTTCAAAGGTGTATTGGATGAAGATGCATATGAGAGAAAGTTATGCTTAGAAACAGAACTTCTCAAAGCTTAAATTCATTAAAGTTTCTTTTAAAATTTGATTTGTGGTAAATGAGAACAACTCCCATTTAGGTTTAGTAAACCAAGCAACTGGAAGTTTGCAAAGATGTTTTAGATTTCCTCCTACTATTTTGTTTTGAAAAGAACATGTGTTTTATTTTTCCACAATGTATTTTTAAGTGAAATATGTATGTTTTGCTGAGCTGTTCTCACAAGAGCTGTTTTTGCAACACCAACTTCCTATTTTAAAGCAACAGTCTATGCACAGCGTAATAGACTCAAATATATTAGTTATTGACTAATGATGTAGACCAAGCCTTGGTTCCACAGCTTCTCCTGACAGGAAATGTGACAATATGGTTAAGAGCAAAGCTGAATTCATATGTTTACCTGTAAATAAGTATGATTTCATCTAGATGTCAGAAAAGAAAGAGAACTACCCTTCTACAACAATAGTTCTGATCATTAGGGAAAATCAACACAGACATTGGAATTAAAAAGAAAAGTTGATTCCATCATTAATCTGAAATGAGAGGTAACTTCGTACATTTCACTCAACTACTTGAACATATGCAGCATATTAAAAACAAGTTGACATGTGCAGGCCTTGACACTCAGTTCATCTAAAACTGGCCATCATTGATAAAGGGCACAATGTTTTTAATTCCACAGCTGTACATTCCTGACATCCAGCTTCTCTCCTCCAATACCTACCACAGATGTAAAGCAAACAGACAAATGAATGCCAAAGGTGTGCTAGTTACTATTATCACATCAACTTTGTACTAATTTTGAAGCTAGTATAGATTCCTAATTTGTAGAAATAGTTAAGCATCAAATGCATGATGATGTGTCACTACATCTAGAATACTGATTTTATAAGATATTTTGTATTAGTTTTATTTATCTTATTTAGCTAAGGCTTGATTTGTTAGTGCTTGTGCTTTGGGGAATTGATGTCCACTTTTTTCTGAACACATAGTTTTGCCCTGAACCCATTACCCAAGAAAAACAACAATCTCCAGTATTTTCTACTTTAAGTTGTTTAGCGTAACAAGAAGGAAATTCCATTGTCTTAATTGAGAACAAAACCAAGTCCTGCAGCAATACTTGGTTTTCATTTTTCCACATAAATCATAAACCTTTGATGTTCCCAGGTTTTTAGCTAAACGTAAAAAACAACTTCAAAGCATGTAAAAATATATTCCTACGTCAAGCCAAATTTCTATCTGGAAAGAATTAAACCCATCAATTCTCTCACGTCTCTTGTGATAAATGCCTAAGATGGAAAAAACACAGTTATAAGTATGATAATGTTACATAAGCAGCAGTCTCTGATCTTATTCTCATCACAAATCATTGCTACTAAAACTCTATCCAGTATTAATATGATCAGTAAATATTACCAAAAATGTGTATACACAAATAAATGCATATTATTCTAATATACAGACATGTAAACAATCTAAGACCTACCCACTGCCACACAATTAATTTTGCATTAAAATGTTGTATATATTTTTGAAACCTACTAATTATCATCAGTAATGCTAATTAATGCTCTTAACACTTTGTGCGAACCAAAGTAGACTAGTGGTACTTTCTGAATGCCTCATGCAGGCTCCAAGTTCTCTGATGTGTTTTACTTCACTTTCCCTATTCACAGCAAGTTAATCACAAACATGAAGTGAGAAAAGCTTCAGTAGGGAGGATTTCCACCTCCTATTTGTGTGACCAGTACTAATATCAAGCTGAATGTAAACTGTTCTGTTTTTTCCTATCACTCATTTCTGTTCTGTATTTCCAATAAAACTTGAATTTTTGTCCTTGTTTATCAGTATCAGCTTCAACAACCTGCTCTTCCAGCCTTGCCCACATGTTTCAGTTGTTCAGCCGCACAGCACACTAAGGCTAGAAGATTATTTGCACATGTAAATCCATTTTACAGACATATTTATTGTGACAATAGCAAGACCTGCCAAAACAGAATACTTGGGGAACACTCCATTTTTGCTCCTTCAAAACCTATTTTGAATTGACCTTGAATTGCCATTAATCTCAGAACATTCAATAATACTTGAAGTACTCCTCCACTTCTATGTTATCCCCTCCTTCTCAAGTATCAAAACAGGAAAGAAAAAATAAACTACTTTTGGTGTTTTTACACTACATTCTGAAGAAAATATCAGAAACAATTTTATTTCTACATAGAAGCCTTGGCAATTATCTTTGAAAAATAAACAGATTAACAATAAAGCTAGAAACCCAAGACTCCCCCCAAAGAAGTTTTCTCTCCAAACAGGGGAGTCTAAAGAGCAGGTAGGGGGGAAAAAAGAAATACAAAGATTACAGACTAATTTTTAATGTTGTGTAAGTGTGAATATTAACAGGATAGACTCTTGAGTTGGTTTTATGCATATATTAACAACATATGTCTAACTGCTTTCCCACAAATTACTGAAACCATTAAATTACAAATAGACATTCTCCTTGTCAATTTTGTTATTTTAATTGTCAATTTTGATCCTTGAACCCTATTATTAATCCTCTTATCTGAGAAAGTCTTCTGCTTCAAAATGAAATTATTAGTAATGCTAACAAAAATAAGAAGGCCTAAAATACTCTTCATAAGCACATAGTCAGTCATATTTGGTAAATATTCTCCCAAATTGGTTTGCCTTTCAATTTATCCTTATATTTGCCCATGGAAATAGAACTACCTTTAGAAAGAACATCTGTAATACTGACAAACTCGTAAGGTCTTCAGTGAATTATCTTCACACATCTTTTAGCAATTAGTAGATATTTTCATTGTTCATACTCAACAGCTGAACAAATACTTTTTAAAACTGCTTATCTAACAACAATTTGAAAGTTGTCTCCAAACCCATCTCTTTTCTGTTTTTTTCTTTTTATTGTTTTTTTAAAATGAGAAATATTTACAACAGTTCACCAAATCACTGTCCCAGAAACCAGAGTCACTGCTGATGTAAGGATCAGAAAGCATCAAGGGAAGCTGGGAAAAACAATCACAAAGCCCTAAAGCTCTTGGTGCTCTACCTTTTCTATGGAGGGATTAGAGAAAAACCCTCACACAAAAACCAGCAGGATTAGGCAATACCAGTTTATTGCTCAGCTGGGGATTGGATTTTTCTTTTTTTTTAGTATTGTCAGAAAATAGAACTCTTTTTTCTATTCTGGTTGATTGGATAATATAAATTCATTAATCTGGCATGGAACTCAAAGGCCTAAAAGATTGAAAAAATAGGAAATTATGCAGTTCCTACTTGATACTACAGCTGAAAAGATGGTGTAGAGCTTAATGACAGTAAATTCTTGATGTACATAAAACACAGCAAAGAAACCACAAACAATTAAACATCCTTCTCTAGCATAAAGCAGCATATAAGATGTTTTGTGTCTATAAGACTGTAGTATTTTTACTACAAGGATTAGTTACTTATCTTAAAACCAACACAAAGCCAAAAAAACAAGCCAAATACCAATTAGCCAAATTTAAAACCAAGCTCAAGTACTATGTTCCAGTTAGGAGGGAGGAACAAATTCCCATACAAGTAAAACACTCCAGAACTGAAAGTGCTGTCGCCCAAACACACGCTGACACATCTTCAAGACAAACAGATCTAATCCTTCAAAACCAACGTTTACATGCCAAAGACTACAAGTGTTATTTTCTTTTAATTTCTTCTTTATCCTTTTTTTTTAAAATCAAAATAGAATATAATACCAAAGCAACTATCTTACTCCTTCACAGAAAGGCACAGTCTTATTTTCCTCCACCCCTGAGGAACACAGCAATTTCTGCTCAATTTCCCCATGACCACAACACAATTTTTTACCACCACATACAAAATTAAGATGACATATTCTGATAAAGACAGCCAGTTTCACCTCCAATGCTCTGTCTTAATAAACTTCTTAAAGCAATAAATACTGTACTAATAAATAAAGGCTTGATAGACACTACCTTGAAATGCAGGAAGGTCCGTCTACGATGCTCATGCCACTCAGCATAGGTTAAAAGGCTTCTGAAAAATGTTAGAAGATCTCCACGTTCTTCAGTGCTATAAAACAAAAATATATTGTTTAACACAGTCCTAATCAGATATATCAATTCTATAGCCTAAAATTCACACTTAAAAAAAATTAATACTGTTTGAATATGAAGTAGAAATGATCCAAAATAAGAATGACAAAGCTGAAAAAAGCCGAGTGCAATAACTGAAAAAGAGGTTAAAGAACACATTCCTAAACCAGTGTTTCTCATGTTAGTCTGATGTGTAAAACGTGGGAACAAAGTAGTCACCTGCAAATTCTTAGCTTGATTTTATTCTTGTTCAGCTTGTTTTCTAAATAAATTCTAAGATGTTGCATAGTAAAATCTGGACCTGCAAATTGGTAAGATTACCCAAGTTGTATCACTAACCTTCAAATATTCCCAAAATCTTTGTCCTAACCAACTAACTCTACGTGACATGTTACCTGCAGCTTTTCAAGATTAACAGTAGATTAACAAGATTGCAGCTTCAGTAGAAAAGAAGGCCTGATCACACAGGGCATCTAAACCAAAACTTTTGTTAGACAGTTAAATCTTGATGTGATCTTGTCTCCAGAGCAGAGGGGCTCCAGCCCTCTGAACATCTTCCTAACTCTCCTCTGGACCTGCTCCAACACAGGACCATGTTCCTTCTTATGCTGGGGTGAGAGTGGGAAGAAAAGATAGACATAAATATTTATTTTTTAGATTTCTAGTACGGATCAGGATGGAGAACGGAAAAGAGACACTATAAGGTGACAAACTGTCAGCCAGCCAACCACACACCCAGGGCTGTTGGGGAAAGGAGGAAAAGCTCATAAAGGGCGTGCAGTTTTCATTGAACAAATGCACCCAGAATGTTAAACTCCACCAAAACCACATGTCACCACACCTGAAGTAACATGATTATTTAACCATAAGGGTGAATTCATGTCATTGTTGATATGAAGCCACAGACTATTAGCCATCATCAAAATACACCTGGCAAGCACTGCTTTGGAAGTACAAATAAATATTTTGGTTACTAATACAGTATTTTAAAAGTTCACAAACCCTGACTGATGAAGATACTTGCCTGATGTCTGGGAATATTTCAGGAAATTAAAGTATTTAAATTCTAATGTAAATTTGACTTCTAACGTACTTTCTGTTTGAGATTAGATATTCTTTTTGGATTTTCAGAACAGCTGAGAGCAGAGACTTGAGGCATTTGCAGAATGGCTGCAGCACTGGATTACCAAGTCAGTTCAGCCTTCCCAGGGAGAACTGTGCCTCCAATCCAGCTCTATTTAATATACAGGGACAGCAGACCTCAACATGTTGCATAAAGAAACTGGGAAAAAAATACATTAAGGTCATTCAGATATTGAAAATGTGAAAGAAAAGCCAAACAAGTTTTATCGTAGCCTGGAAAGAACAGCATCATTAAAGGAAGTTACCACAGTAGTCACAGCTGCCAACAAAATCAGGCCAAGATGAAAAAAATGCTGGCAGCACTGGGAAAAGTGAGTCCCTGGAACAACACAGAAACACTGATTTACAATAGATCCTTAGCTCTGGTCTGGGAGCTGTTTTTAACCACAACTCTGAATTGTACATGTCAAAGTCTACGCATTCCATAGGAACTGTGGATCCCCGGTAACAGCTGCCCACGTCTCCATGCCTGGAGAACAGGTTCCACACAAACTGCACCAGGCCTTTTCAATCTCCACTTGTTTGTGGAATAGAGTAACACAAAGCTTTTTTACAAAACTCAAATTATTTTTTAAGGACTTGGCAATTTTTATAAATATCCACATTTTGACCTTGTTTTAGCATTGTTTTTAGTTTATTTCTTTTTTTGACTCAAAATAATGTTTAGGTGATGCAGCAGATGAAAATTTTCAAGGCTAGATCATCAACAGAAAGAAAAAGTTTTGTATAGAAGTTCAAAGAATCAGTATCAAATATAGAAGTTAGTCAAGCAATGTATCTGAGGATGTACTTTTCTCACATAGCACTTTCAAGAGAGAAAACTGAACTCAGTGTTTAGAAAGGAGGAATCTGTTGGCAAGAATAGCTGTCTGTAGATCCATATAGGCAAAAGAGTAAGAGAATGTATAAGAGCACCAGTTCAGTGAACTCTCACAGCATTGAATCTACCCATAAACAGTAATTCCTAATTAGCCCAAATTAGCCTAATTCCTCCTGCTGAAGTCAACTACACTAAATGCTAAAATACCAAGAAAACATGGTATAAAATAACAAGGAAGTAAGAGTGGATGGTAAAATTCAAGTTTGTTTTTTTCTTTTTACTTTGAAAGAATTTAGCATTACAAAAATCCACGTGGAACAGAAAACACTTGTCTCCAACGCAAACATCCATGTTACAGAGAAGTCATCCAAAACCAGCTAGAAGGATATTCAGGCAGAGAGTAACTCTGTCAGGTTAAAATCATGGGCTCTTAAAATTAGGTTAAAATGGGCTCTTCATCCAAACATACTTTCACAAAATAGCAGCAAAACACAGAAGTATGTAAGAAATCTAACTGTTGTAAAGCCTCCTTTAATGTGTTCCTCTACCTATTTTAAGGGAGAAATCTATTTTAAGTCACTGCAGAATGCAAGACTTCCTACATTAACATAGAAAACCAAAGCACCATTCAAAGCTGAGGGCAGAATTCCTGCTTCACTTCATTTGCAAGAGACCTTGCCCATGCAGCATTTAATATAATGCATATTTACTAAATCTTGCACTCTGACTTACAGATTCTGACTAGTTAGTAAAAAGAAAGAGCAATTTTCATACTGCTTAAAATCTCTATTTGCCTGAGTAATCCATGCAAAGGTTAACTCCCCCAACAATTAATGGGGTGTCAAGTCAAAAAAAGGAAAAAGGACTAATAAGAGTTTTTTTTTAGATGTTGTGATTCTCAACACTAGTAAAGTATAACATTAAGTGATAACTAGTGCCAAGGGAACACAAGTGAAATACAAAAAAGACAAATATTGTGATTCCATTTGCATGCATCTGCTATTGCCACAAATTATTAAAGAAATTCTATAAAAATATATCAATTTTTTAAAATGTACAACTCTTATATAGAGATGTACTATTTGTATATAGCAGCAGTACCTGCAGACTGTTGAATTTTGCTTTACTTAAAAAGATAATGCTCAAGTGTTCTAGCATTCCTCTGTTTTCTTCTAAAGCAGGAACTGAATGCCAAATTTTTAATTTTGCTGCTCTTAAAGAGCATTTTCTGACACGTAATATGAAAAAAAAACAAAGCCAAAAAAAATTAGAAAACTGAGGAGGAAAAAAATCCCAGCCAGGAGACAAAACAGAACAGAACTAGATAATGGATTTGGCAAGACTGGGCCAAGGAAGCGGAAGGAGAAAACAAATTGGTAGGGAGGCTGAAAATGAACAAAACAGACCAGATTCAGCTGGTCAGGAATGGAGGGAAAAATAGGGAAGAGGTAGGAATTTTAGGAACAGACTAAAGAACAAAGGCCTAGTTGGGGAAAGTCTGAAACTGGATATGAGGGGATTACAACTTGGAAAAAGAAATGAGGAGCAGCCCAACAAGGGGATTGAGCAAACAGGCCCTGAAGGGACATCACAAACTCAGGCAATGGAGCAGAGGGTGCTCTCAAACAGGCACTGCCAGCACACACTGTGGCACACTGGAAAAATGAAATTTGAAGGTGTTGTAAGGGAACAAAATGGAGTTGTTCCCCACCCCCAAATTTCCCATATTTTTCAACCTACTGACCCCACTGATCCTATTAGCCACGTGGCTGCAAGGGTATCTGCAGACACGAAGCCAACAGGTGGCATGTGCAAAGGGAGGCTCAGAAGAAGGCACTGCTTGCTTTGTTGACAACTTCTATCATTCATAAAAACTTGTATTTATTTATTACTGGGACAAGGTGAAAAAGGAGAAGAGACAGGGACAAGACAGCATTGCTCTAGCCAGGATGAAATAAAGTCTGCCACTACTTCAACACGTTCCCTTCCAGTGTGACTATTAAATTCCAATACACTTCTGCTGTCATAAAACACTCATTAATAAAACAGGGCAATTTCCTCTTCTAAATCCCACTTCTTGAGAGCAATCAACTGTTCTTCCCAGTTACACCACGGCCTTTAGTAGGTTTTTATGGAAATCTCAAAGCCTTTAAGTAAAAAAATCAGTTTTCAGTAGTCTACTGAAGTCTGAGGTAACTCAATAGACCTCTTCCTTCACCCATCTGTTGGGCCTATCCCCTCCCTCTCCAAGACCAAAAAATAACAGAAAACAAAAGGAACAAACAAAAAGAATTAAATCAACTGCTCAGTGATAATGGATTTGTTCTCAGAACAGCTTGCTAGCAGAATTTAGTGGAATACTGCAGACAAATAATTTGATCATTTACTCATCATGTTACCACAAGAAGTTGGCATACTCCAGAAAATAATAAAAAAACAGCATTCATTTATACATTTAAGTTTTAGTATGCTAATTTTCTTAAGCCATTGTACAAATACACTGTTTCATGTTTTTAAATTATATACTTTTCAGATATTAGTGAAATAAATCCTGATGCCAATAAGAGAAAAGGAATTGAGAACTGAGAATCAGAAACAGGCAAATACTGGAGAGGGGTTCTGGATATGCACTTTAGGCATTACCCACACTGCACATCTGCAGCTTACATACACATCTGAGGAACAATTATATTAATTAAAGTGCAGTAGCTGAGATTACCATGTTACCTTTCTCTTCAAAAAGCTAAAACACGCTATAATCCAAAGCCTGGCTCCGTTTAACCTGAATTTGTAATGATCCTTCCAGATCTTGAAAATCATGTGCCTTTCATTTTCAGGATACAGATAAAGGATAGGAAGTGTTTAGGCTGGGCTCAGGACACATCACATAAAGACACTGACTGCCAGCAATTTACATAAGAACTCAGTACTGCATTTAGGATCTCATATTCCAAACAATTAACTTGCCTTGAGCAAAAAATTCCATCTTACCTTGAAACAAACTTGCTCACATTTGAATCTTCTCTGGATTCCATTATAATGCTGAGATCACTAACAACGGCAGACACTTTCTCATTGTTCTGGATTGGAGAAGTAACAACAAAATATTTTAAAAGTTTCTCTGGCAAGGAGAAAAATGTCTGTTTACATATAAAAAAAATAGAAAAAGGTAATTATAAATGCTGGTAAGTACTATAATCCTTAAAATAGCAATTTTTAAACTATGTTTTGTGTGTGTGAACAGTTTCTTTCATTTTAAGAGTAGTATTATTATTCGCACAAGGCTTTTGGAATAATACCCAAGCCTGTCAGCATAGAGACTATATATTTATAAAGGAAGGGTCATTACATCCTTTAACATCAATCCTACTTCTTTAAGATTCTTCTCATTTTCCAACACAACCTTTAGCTGCCACATATATCAAAAATTTCACATATGAGGTTTTATCTGTTAGTTTTGGGCTGGTTTTTAAATTTTAAACCCTATAGTTTTGTCTCAAAATATTGTCCTTTTTTACAATTGCTGTTACTCAGAAATATGTGCAGGATAATAAAATTATTCTAAATTAACTAATAAACTGTTAAAGAATGAGAACATTTCTACTGGTCAGAGTAGAAATGAAGCCACAAAATAAGTTAATTCTCTTTTCTACACGTTCTTGAACACACCAAAGTAATGGATTAGATAACAGTGAATGAAAAAGCTTAAAATCATGGTTTGAAGACCATAGGAAATGCCTCACTTGAAACTTCTTACACCAGGTCACTACAAGCAAATGGGAATGACAAGAGAGGACTGCACACACATCTCAGCAATCCCTGTACTGCTTGGACAGAAGCCATGCTAACACTGCCATCAGATGGAAATCTAAAGATAGGAAAAGCAAAGCAAGGCACTACAGGGACTAGTGGATGTACTAAATAACATCAGGAAAAAATCATTTTAGGTTTAGAGCACAAGGTTCAACAGGGTGATGGAGGTGTGGAGAAGCTGCAAGAAGTCACAAGCTAATGTGCCACATTCTGAAGGGATTGGTTTGCCAGTGGGGGGGGGTGGGTAACAAAATGCCATTGTGAGGCCAAATAAAAAGATTTAAATGGAAAGCTCTGGGCAAGAAAGAAACTCTATTTAAATGATTGCTTTCCCAAAAGGCTTAGACTTGTTTTTGCTGATTTTTAAGCCCATGTCCTCTCTCCTAATACCATGGAACTGAGTTAACTCTAGGGTGACTTCACTACTAGAATAAATAGCTACAGTTAACAGTGTGAAAAAAAATATTCCTGATCTTCTGCTGCATACCAACAGACCTGTTACCTGCTGGGCACTTCCCAAAAACAGCTGTCACCTTTTACTCCTCAGGACAGGTGAAACTGGTTATAACTGCACTACCTTGTCCATGCTAATGTCATACCATGTACTTCTAGCAAACAAAAAAATTCATGCAAAAATTAGCTCAAAACTATACTTTTACAGCTGAAATGAGGATTTTTAAGTATATATACACCTGGTATTCCCTCTCATCAACATTCAAAGTAGCCCAAATTTTAGACATTAGGCAGCCAAGTGCTGCCACTCAGTGGTGTAATGGCTTTAAGCACCAATACCATTGGCAGTAAACTTAACACCGAGTAACCCCTCTGAGCCCCACTGGCACAAAAAGATATCATCATGCTGCAGGAGATGCAGCTAAGAAACATTCCAAGTGCAGTTTTATACAAGCAAATGTAAAGAGGCATCATGAAGACCACAAGTTTCAAGTCACAAATAGACTTCAGTGGTTTCTCATTCAGCTGAACTCTTGCAGTTTCAAAGGATAAAATCCACACGTGGCTGCATAAATATTCATAAATTCATAATGCAGTTTTGTAATTTATAATTATAAAAACACATAATTCATAATTCCCAAATTCATAATGTGTTTTTTCTAAAGAATAGGAAGGACATCTTTACTGTTCACTCTCAGTCCCATCACATTAAATTAAAAAAAAACAACTTCAAAGCTGAGTTGGGTCAAAGGGCCCAGCAGGCACCTGGCATAGCTGAAGGACAGCAAGTGCAAGAGCATCCTGCAGGTTAGATTTTCCAACTTAAATAATTCTGTGGTAACCATTTTGTGGCTAAACACTAAACCTGGCCTTCAGAACTATCTCGCCTGGATGCACACGGGATTCCAAAGTTGGGTCCAAATGTTAAAGAGCCAAAAAAAAACCACTGAAACTTAAACAGTTGAAGATTTCAGCTGGAAAAGGAAGCACTGACATTTGCCCATTTGAAGTTTTATTTTATAGTTTTTTTTTTTAAAAACATACATTGACCCTTACCTGCATTTCAAGAAGCTGGAATTCCAGTTGAAAAGACAGGGAGTAACACTTCCCTGATAATCTATGCTTCTGCACCATCCTGTCTTTAGCTGTTATAAAATCAAGTTAGCAAAATAATCAATTTCACTTTGATTCAATGACTACTGCATTTCTTCCTTTAAATAAAGTCATATTTAAAGTACCAACTGTTACCACTCCTCATGTAAAGAAGTTTAAAGTGTTAAAAAACTCCAACAACTAACTCCACGTTCCCTCTGTGCAAAGCACAGCAGCAGTCTGTCATTTTCCCATTAAGGACAGTATTTACTCAGAAAATATTCTGTCAATGAACCAAATCCTATTGTATTTTAAAGTAATTGTCTTTCAGCTAACAGTGAATTAGAACAGAGGTTTGCAGATGACCTGCAACCAGTATGCTCAATAAAGGGCACAAAATTACTTACTTTTTTCCACTGTTTTCTTGGAATGACTTGTGAAATGAAACCCAGTAAACTCCATTAAAAATGAGAGATCTGTTTCTAGACTTTCAAGCTGAGCTTTCAGGTCTGATGGAGATTCATGTCCTCTGGTTTCTCCCTGAGTTTCTCTTTGGAATGATTTTCTAGAATGGAAAAAAAAAAAATCAAAAGGGGAAAATACCTAGAAATACCTAGATATAACATATCAGTACAGCAATATCAGTAAATAAAAGACATTGGTAATGGGGTCTGATGGTTTTCAGACCCAAATCAGTTTTGAAAGAGTCAAGTTGCAGATCACATTGCTGGAAACAGTAAACTATTCTAACTTACATAAACCCTTCTATTCACTGCCAGGTAGGCACGCAGGTGGAAGTGTCCATTTTGAGAAATGTGCAAAAACATGCAAGAAAAGGGAACTAAGATGCCTGTACTCATCTAAGTGACATATTTTATCCAAGGAATTTACATTTACCAACATAGGGAAAGTCCTAACACAGAGGCAAAAGCTTATCCCAAACAATTTTGACAAAGAAATCCTATTAATCTAACAAATGGGAAAAATGATAAAAAGGCATACATTGACTTCAGTATCTCCTCCTCAGAAAAGAAGGTGGATTCTTGTCGGATATCTTCATACTTTTCTGTCAACAGCCTAATTTCTTCTTCCAGTGCCTGGATTTCTTCTTCATAAGCTTGAAAAGTGCTCTCGTCCATTTCTCAGAACCACTGTTACTACAAAGAACAAAATAAGGATTTTTCTCAGGAACAAACAAGGAATCAGTTTTTTAAAAACACAAATGTAACGTTAGGCAATTATTTTGAGATACAGAGCATTGCACAGTCTCCAGAGACAGAAGTTTAATCAGTATCTAATGGAGTCAAAGGCTTTAAGAACCTTTTTAATTAGTCATTATTTGATCCAGGAGTGCATCCAGCTGTTTTACATTTGCTGTAATAGAACAAGCTGCTCCACAGGTGAAAACCAATTGCAGTCAGATACAAAAATGGAACCCAGCTTTGACCAATTGACCTAATGACTCACCTGAGCAGACGAGGCACAGCTGCTCCTTACACTGTTCCTAACACAATCTGCCTTCAGAGTAAACAGCAATAAAGAGACACAAATTGCAAAGACATTTCACCAATAATTAAAAACATAAGCCTCAAAACAGTTTTCAAGAAAAATAATAATCTGACATTCAGCCTAGCTACAACACATTCAGAAGTCTGTAAAAGACATTATGTACATCAAAGCTAATGTGCTAATATTTTTGGCAAGGAAAAGCCCAATATTTAGTTTTGTGGTTTTTTAAACCACGCCTACTCTATGTGCAAGTTTCACACTAACATCGTTCAGTAAAAAGCAAAGAGGTGGAAATAAAATTTTATTCATTTATTTCATAGGAAACAGTGCCTTTATAACACACGTAAGAAAACAACATCAAAAGCACGCTTTGCATTAAAAACTTAATTAACGAATAAAGGAAGTATACACAATTACATAACCATCCACTCAACACCAGATTTTTTTGAACTGGATACAGTGAAGAAAGTCACGGTCATAATAAAGATTATGGTGTGAAAAAGAAAAACATTACAACAACCAGAATATTACCCGAGGTCAGCTGATCCCTCTTTTAACAGCAGTAACAGAAGACAAACTACTTACAGCTACTTAAACTCAAGGATTTCAATAGGCTGCAGAAGTCTCAAACACTAATTACGACTTCAAAGATCTTATATCTAGAAAAAAATGCTCTGTAATCAAGTAGAACAAAACTTTTACAAACATTTCTCCTATTATATATCATACGCATATATATTTATAAATATTTGTGCATTAACAGCACAGCTTTCACATTTCTACGTACCTGCCCGTTTACACCCCCGAGTATTTGACTTTATGCTGCCACAAGAGGAGCTGGGAAGCGCTTTGGAACGCTTGTGAGAACCGAAACGCTGCGTTCTGTGCCCGCTGCTTCCCTGCGGACCTTCAGACCACTCAGGGCGAGGCCGAAATCGCGACTCGTCCGAGGAGCCGGTGCTGAGCCGCGCCGAGGCTCGCAGGAGACACAGGTGCCCCAGGGGCGGAACGGGTGTCCAAGCAGCGCAGTCGGGAGCTCCGCAAGCCCCGGCAGCCGCCACAGCCGCGGACAGCAGGCGCTGAGGGAGGAGCGGAGGGAGCCGGCGCTGAGGGGAAGGGCAGTGAGAGGTCGGAGCCGGCGCGAGAGAGGAAAGGAGCCCTCAGTCCCAGCGCGCGCGCCCCGCGCTTTTCGAACCGCGCGCCAAGCCACGAGCCTGGGCGCTACCACAGCTGCTGCGCGAGCGGGAGGTGCTGGCCGCGCCTTCCTTCCCCTCCCTGTCCAATAACAGGGCTGTTGGGGGATAATTCCCGAGTTCTTTATTATAAACTAAAGAAAAAAGCCTTGCTTTGTCGGCTGTTCCCTTATTTACGTTAATTTTTGCTCACGTCTTCCGGAAAACAGCCCTGCTTTTCTTCCCGGTTAGTCAAGTTCAAAGCATCTGCTGCCACAAGACCCAGCCCCCGTGTGCCCACCACCCTTGACCGGCCGGAAACAAGAACCCGGCAGCCGATCGGAATCCAGCGGCACCAGGAGGCGGAACCCTTTTTTTCGAGGGAGGGCTGGGAAGAGTTGCGAGGGGGAAGGTAAAGTGGTGGCACTGCGGGGCTCGCACATGGCGGCGGTGAGGCCGGGCCGGGGACACCTCCGGGGGTGGCGGGGCTGGCGCCCCTCAGGCCGGGGGTCCCTCGGCATCTCCCGGGAGGGTCGGGCCGGGCCGGGCCGGGCCGGGCCGGGCCGGGCAGGGCCGGGCTGGGCTGGGCTGGGCTGGGCTGGGCTGGGCTGTGGGCGGCTCGCGGTCCCTCCACAGGGGGCTCTGGGGTTATATTGTAAAGAGACTTTTGCCCTTATTCTGGCGCATACAGGTCCAGGGTTTTAAAGAAACCCTGACGCCTGAACCCTGGTTTCCTGCAGCAGCGCGGGGTTTGCTATCGCTGCGCTGGGACAGCGCGCGTGACCTACTGCCAATCAAAGGAGTGCTCTGCTCATAAGGTTCTTCGTGGCTTTTTAATGCGCTGATTTGTCCCTGATCCGTTATTCTAATCACACTAATTTCCGTGAGTGTCACTGAACTGTTTTGCTTCCTTGCAGAGGAACAGAGTGTGTGTTCTGGGTTTGACGCCTTGACTTCGCAGCATGGAGAAGGAACAGGTTTCCAGACGCTTGTATGTTGGAGGGCTTGGCCATACGGTTTCCAAGGCTGAGCTGGAAGAAAGATTTGGCAAGTTTGGGCGTGTTTTGGAGGCAGAGATTATTACCAGAAAAGATGATCAGGGTAATAGTTTTCTTTCATCTTTTAAAAGCTTTTCTATTTGGAGCATGAAATGGAATTTTTGCTTCGGAGACATTTAGTTTTAAAGGAAATGATGAACCTACATAGAAATTAACTTAATGTTTGTCATTGATCAGGGAATCCTACGAAAACTTTTGCTTACATCAGTGTCAACATTTCTGATGCAGATCTGAGAAAGTGTAAGTGCTTTGGGTATTTTTTTGTTGTGTTTTGTTTTGTTTTTTTCTTAGTTATGTTTTTGAGCCAAGTTATATTGCTGGTCACTCATCTCAGGTTGTCATGTCCAGTTGTGGTCACAGTAGAGCCTTTTTCATTCTCTTGTCAGGTTGATTTTATTTTCTTTTAGCTGCAGTTTTATGGAAATTGCTTTGCTGAAGTTTTCAGAAATTGCTGTGAGCAGATTGAAAAGATTCCTTGTGACTGAAGTAGGTGATTTGTGAGTTTCAGAGACTCATAGAATGGTCTGGCTTGGAAGGAACATTAATGATCATCCTATTGCACCCCCCTGCCATGGGCAGGGACTCCTTCCACTATCCCAGCCTGCTTCAACCCCTGTCCAAGCTGGCCTGGGACACTTCCAGGGATGGGGCAGCCACAGCTTCTCTGGGCACCCTGTTTGTTTGTTCTCAGCCTTTTATGAAAAGGATATGTGCTTCAAATGCTTTAATCAGGTCTATGAAACACCGAAACTGAATTACGTGAGAGGAAACCTAGAAGAGTAGCTGATGTAAAGCTTTGTTTGCAGTGTGCCCCTGGATCTGGGGAATGCTGCCATTAGGCACTTTTGAAGTGGGAACTTCAGTTTTGGATGTGAACCTTTTGGTTGAAGATATGCATATTGGTCCTTTCAGTTACAGCCCTAAGCCAAGTGAGCAATCAGGTATAAGGTCATGTCGAGGGAACCTCAGGCTGCCATAGAAAGAGGCCTAGTGAAGTCTGTGATGTGCTTTTTTTTTCTTTTCAATGTAGAAAATACTCATTTCCTATCTCTTTGTTTTGCAGGCATATCAATTTTAAATAAAACAAAATGGAAAGGGGGGACACTGCAAATTGAGTTGGCCAAAGAAAGCTTTTTGCACAGGTAGAAATCAGTCTTTTTGAATGCACATTGTTGCTAAAACTACTTTTCTTCCTGCTTATTTGGTAATATTACAACAGTACTTCATCTTGTACACTCTTTGTGTTTTTATAGACTCTGTGGGCTGTTGATTTATGTTTGATGCTGTAACACATTTTGCATCATTATTCCCTCAGAGGTGATGAGTGTTAATTCCCTGAGTAGTGAGTGGTTGCTGTATGGTGGGAAGGGATCTCTGCCAGCTCCAGTTCTGGGCACACTTTTTTCTATGTGTGTTGTACTTTCTGCTACAGGCTGGCCATGGAGAGGGAGGAAGCAAAGCTGCAGAAGGAAAAACCACAGAGAAATAACCAAAAGGCTCTGTTGGAATCGCTGAAAGAGACAGGAGTTGTGGACTTCCACATGAGAGCAGTACCAGGTACAGAGGTGCCAGATCATAAGGTATGGTGGGGGTAGAGATATAAGAGAAATAAAACAACAAAAAGAAAGCTCATTGCATCTGAATTCATGGCAAATTTATGCTTTATGTAAAGAAACTTAATTATTAAGGGTGACAGTCCAAGCTGTGAAAAGTACTCTGAGGAAATACCTCATGTGTAGACATGGAGAAGGCTTCTGTCATTTTTTGCAATGACTGGTAATAATCATGATCATATTGTCTACTTCTGAAATGAGGAAATGCTCATTTCAATGCTTACAAAAAAATGGAAATTTTTGTGAAATGAGGAAATGCTTTGTTCCTCATTTATATTGGGAATATGGTTGTGTCACTCTTAAAAGCTTGTAAAGGGAATATGTGACTTATTTCTATGCACCACATAATAACTTTTGGTGATGGGGATGGGCTTCAGCACAGGATCAGGGTCTGCACATGCTTACAAAGGTAAGAATAAAATCACTCAACATGCAAATTTAGGCAACAAAATTTGTATTTACCACAAAGTTTTCAAAGCTGTTTGCTAAGCACAGAATGGTTTAGGAGGGATTTTTTTTTTTTGTGAGAAGAGGGAAAAGAGCAAAATAATTGTGATCCTGTCTTTGTAGGTACCAATGTTAATTCATAAGCCAGAAACCCTGTATTAAAAACAGTACTTGCAAAGAAATTTAGTTCTTTATTATCACTCTTTATTTGTAGGTTGTTGAAATTTAGTTTTTTGGTTGGTTTTGTTTTGTTTTTGAGAAGAAGCCTAGGCAAGTTGTATGGTAGGGTTCACTAGAGAGAATAAAGAAAAAAAAAATTAGTCACATGTGGTTCTTTATTTGTGTTTTTGTTATTCGAGTACAAATATTTGTTTTATTCCAGAGTTACTTCCACTCTCTTTTTTTAACACTGATTATTTTTCTTTTCTTTTAGAAATGGGTAGTTGGAAAATTTGGCAGAGTCTTGCCCATCTTGCACCTCAGGAATCAACAAAAAAATAAAATATCCTTTTCTGATTGTTTGGCCTTGAACACAATTCCCCTCCTTCTTTTGTCATATGGAAAAACAGTTGCTTGACAGTTCTAATTTTTACTGCTCTGTCAGGCTTAATTTAGTGAATCTCCCAAGTAAATCCTGCAGTAAGTTTGTGTGACTTGAATAGTTCTTTTACACTGCATTCAGTCATTTAAAGGCTTATGGTCGTGACATGAAAAAGGATTTTTTACTGTCCTTTCCTGCAGAATTCAGTCTGTTCATAAAGCTCTGAGTCTGCTGAAAGAATTGGGGTCTTTCAAATCCTTAACTCAGACTAACGTGGTGAAATATGACCCCTCAAAGTATTGCCACAACCTGAGGAAGCTGGAGCCAGACCTGGCCCATGCAGCTCCTGTATCCCAGCTCACCTGGAACCTGGAAGGGGGAGATGACAGCGCGACCAGGAAGAGGCGAGGGGAATTCCCTGGGATGAGGAAACCACCGGAAAAACGGAGGCAGCTGGGCAGCGAGGCCCTGAATGGAGCAACTCTGTCCTCTGGGTGCCCATCGCATCCAAAACACACAGACTCTCCACAGCTCCGCCAAAGATCAAAACCCAAACCTAGTGAGGAGTTGGAATTGCCACCAGCAAGGAGACTGGATGGGAAAATATCAGTGAGGGGTTTATTATCAGATCAAAGCAATGCTAATGGAGTTACAGCCAAAACTAATAGCAGTGTTTCTGATAGTGACATTGATTCTGAAGAGGAGATCAGAGCAATGGTAAAGAAAGAGACAGAAAGCCAGAAAGCTGAGACAAGTGTTGAGACTGAAAGTGAGCACTTGGAAATTGTTGGGGATAATTTTGAATTAAAATACAGTAGCCACTGGTCTTTAAGCAATTTGGATGCCACAAAGAAAGCTATGAAAGGAAGTAACAAAGAGAAAGAGACTATGGAGTGTGATAATGATTATGATTCAGCAGATACGGATGAAATTATTGCTGAAAGTAAAACTCTGGAAGACTCTAAACAAGGAAAGGTGAAAAGAAAAGAAATATTAGGTAAAAAAAAATGTGGCATCGTAAATGGCTCCTCACTGAAAACTCACAGTTTAAAAGATGAACACATTGAAAGAAAAGGGAAAACTAAAAAATCCAGAATTGCTGCCTTGCAGAATTCAGCAGCCAGCAGTACAAC